TGTGACCCCTCACGTGACAGGGACATGCCCTGTGACCCCTCACCCAACAGGGATGCTTCCTGTGACCCCTCACGTGACAGGGACATGCCCTGTGAACTCTTACCCAACAAGGATACTTCCTGTGACCTCTTATAAGACAGAAATGCTGTGTGACCTCTTAGCCAACAGGGATACATCTGTCACCTCTCAATGACTGGCACATACTACTCTGTGACCTTTCACATGGCAGTGACATGCTTTATGACCTCTGACCTGACAGGGATATATCCTATGATGTGATCTCTCACATGACAGGAGCATGCCCTGTGACCCGTGACCTGACAAAGACTAGCTCTGTGTCCTCCTGGGGGTGGGGATTGGGGGGGTGGCAGGCAGGACCAGCCCCTTCTGCGTGATGGTGTGACTCCCAGGGTCGCAGACCGTGTGGGGTTCAGAGGCGTCTCCCTTCCACGGGCACAGGAAGCACCCACCTTCACGGAAGCGTCGGCACGGTAACGGGGTGCTTGTCAGCCGTTTTCTGTGTAACCCCGAGCTGTACTCAGAACACTCCTGGCTTGGGTCTTCTGAGCATTTCCAACTCAGAGCCCACACGCTGCTGGTCCCACAGGTGGCCGAGAAGGTCAAGAGGTTCTTCTCGAAGTACGCGATAAACAGACACAAGATGACCACGCTCACCCCCGCCTACCACGCCGAGAGCTACAGCCCTGACGACAACAGGTTTGACCTGCGCCCGTTTCTCTACAACACCCGCTGGCCCTGGCAGTTCCGGTGCCTAGACAGGCAGGTGGGTCCAGCACGGGGGCGTCTGCCCGTCCGCGGCTCTCTGGGGGTGGCGAGGGGGGCCCCAGCGTGCGTCCGGGATAAGGGAAGAGTACTGGTTGGATTCCGCGTGGTGGTTTTGTTTTGAATATTCCCCTGTGGTTTGGGGGGCAGTTCACAGATACGCTGATTCCCGTTCACTGACACGCGTTTGGTCCCGTGAGTTGCTGTGGTCCCTCAGGGGAGCAGTACTCTCTGGCTCCTGCCCAGGGCTCCCCGTTTCCCTTTGTCCTTCCTCCCTGCCTTCTGAGTTTGAGTGGTTTTTTCAAATTGTGATTTGAATGAAAATTTACAATTGGGTTTTAATTCATATTTTGTTTTCTAACAATAACATACTCAATGCCTGATCACCCCTTACTGGATATTACTTTTCCCCTCCCCCATCCTAATCAGGACCTAGTATCTATCTATGAATTTTTCCTGTCTTCACCCTCCCTTCTGATCCCTGGTCATCATGGTGGAAGGATTCTATCTGTGTGTAAAACTTTGTTTAGCTTTTTATAGTAATAATAATCTTTTACAGCATGTGTCTTTTTGACTGACTTACGTCACTCAGCATAATGTTGTCTAGATCCGTCCGTATCATGCAGTGTTCACGAATTCTTTCTTGTCCTTTAGTGCTGCATAGTACTCCATCGTGGGCCAGAGTCGCCTGGATCTCGGTGCATTTTTCTCTAGGACACAGAGCTAGCAGTGAGATTGCTAGATCAGATGATTGTTTTTGACTTTTTTAGGAGAACCCATACTGCCTTCCCTGGGGTTGCACCAGTTTGCGTTCCCAGCAGCTGTGTTGAGGAGTTCCAATGCCTCCACACCTTCTCCAGCCCTTGTTGTGTGCTGCCTTGAACTTGGCTGTAGTTTCTGGAGTGAGACGACTGCAGCAAGGGGCTTGAGCAGATCAGAGATGCTGAGGATGGCACAGGATGGGGCGTGGCTCAGAGCTGCTCTTCGTGGGGTCTCCACACATCGTGGCTGGTTTGAAGGCACCAACAACAACAGCTGATGATCTCCATCTGGGGAGAGGCTGCCCCCAGTGGCAGCTGTCACAGCTGAGTGTCCTGAGGTGCACAGCCCTCGCTGGTTCTTCTGTCCACCTGGCAGGCCTGGTCATCATTTGGCTGGAAGGTGACCTGGGGGCAGTGGGTTCAGTTCCTGCTCTGAAGGGGTATACGTATCTCCTGGTGCCTCCGGAAACTCTGTGAACTTAGATAAATGTCGAGAGTTATAGAAAGGCTTCAGGCCTTTTGTACTTAGGGTCACTATGAGTCGTGCTTGACTTGAAGGCAATCTACAACAACAACAATTTTCAAATTGTTCTTATTTTCTGCAAAGAGATCAAAACCAAAGGCCATTGATTCCACTTCCTGGTGGTAAACCTGTGAGCCAGCGGGGTATCCAGGCTGTTGCCTTTAGAAGGAGCTCACCAGGCCTTTCTTTCAAGGTACCTGTGGGGGGGCTTGAACCACTAAACTTTTGATTCCGACTGAGCGTATTCACTCTGGCAGGGCTACAGATACTGTTTGATAAGCTTTTTTTAAGAATCCCATAACTGTAACCACTCTTTGACATGTTGTGATGCCTTGGACTCAGTTATGACCCCTGGCGACCCAGTGAACAGCAGATCTGAGCTCCGTCCTGTCCTGCGCCGTCCTCACGCTCTGACTTATGTGAGCCCATGGCTGCCACCACCCTGTCAATCCACCTTGTTGTGGGTCTTTCTCTCTTACCTTGTTAGGATCTGTCAAATCAGCCAGGACTCAGAACAACCCTGTAAACAAGCAGGTGGGACCCTCGCAGGGACATTCCCCCCGTGGCAGGTGGGAACCTCCCCCTGTGGCGGGGGACCCTCGCGGGGACTCCCCCCCCCGTGGCAGGTGGGACCCTCCGCCTGTGGCAGGTGGGACCCTCACGGAGATGCCCGCCCGTGGCAGGTGGGACCCTCGCGGAGATGCCTGCCCGTGGCAGGTGGGACCCTCCCCCTGCGGCAGGTGGGACCCTCACGGGGACATTCCCCCCGTGGCAGGTGGGACCCTCGCGGGGACATCCCCCCATGGCAGGTGGGACCCTCACGGGGACATTCCCCCCGTGGCAGGTGGGACCCTCGCGGGGACATCCCCCCATGGCAGGTGGGACCCTCACGGGGACATTCCCCCCGTGGCAGGTGGGACCCTCGCGGGGACATCCCCCCATGGCAGGTGGGACCCTCCCCCTGCGGCAGGTGGGACCCTCCCGGGGACATCCCCCCATGGCAGGTGGGACCCTCCCCCTGTGGCCGAGGGACCCTCACGGGGACCCTCCCCTGCACCACCCTCGCACTCGCCTTCATACTCAGACCGTCACTGCAGCCACTGCAGCCGTCTGTCTCGTCGAGGGTCTTCCTTTCTTCACTTTTCCAAGCGTGATGTCCTTCTCTGGGGACTGGCCCCTCCATGTTCACAGGACAGGACACAAAGCCTTGCCCTCTGGCCCCTCCAGCTGTGAGCCTAGCTGCTGACGGTCCTGGGTGGCCCCAGTGTGCTCACATCTCCCCTCTGACTGACTTTTTAGGTCCTACGGCTGGAGGGCCACGGGCAGCAGGACCTGGATGGCGTGGACTGAGGCCCCTTCCTCCAGGGAGGGAGGGAATGCACCTTCTCTGGACGACCTGACGCTACATGGGCATCACTGGTGGCCAGCGTGTACCTCACTGTCTCAGGGACAAAATGTCCACATGCCAGCTGAGCACAGCCTTCCTTCTGTTCCATTTTCTATGAAAAGTTAAAATAAAAGAGTGTAACTTCTCAGTGTCTTCTTGGAGCATGTCTGTCCTGCTGGGGGCTGGGGAGTGCTCGGCCATGCTCTTTGGGCACAGACACAGTGTCCAGGTAGAGGGGCTCCCGAGCAGGAAACACAGGAAAGGACCTCCCGCCCCTCCCATTCTGCCTTCCTGTCCTGGGGCCTTGGGAGGGAGTGGGGAGGAGCACTGCAGTGCCCTGGGCCTGGTCAGTGAGTGGGGGCAGGTGTGGACACAGGTCTACCTGCTGTCTTCCCATCTGTACCAGGTCCGGTCAGTGAGTGGGGGCAGGTGTGGACACAGGTCTACCTGCCGTCTTCCCATCTGTACTAGGTCCGGTCAGTGAGTGGGGGCAGGTGTGGACACAGGTCTACCTGCCGTCTTCCCATCTGTACTAGGTCCGGTCAGTGAGTGGGGGCAGGTGTGGACACAGGTCTGCCTGCCGTCTTCCCATCTGTACCAGGTCTGGTCAGTGAGTGGCAACAGGTGTGGACACGAGTCTTCTGCCATTGTCGTGTCAGTACCGGGTCCGGTCAGTGAGCAGGGTTGGGTCTGGACACAGGTCTTCCTCCTGTCCTTGCATCTTTACAAGGTGCGGTCAGTGTGCGGGGACAGGTGGACACACAGGCCAGCAGTCCAGCTGCCATCAGGTAGGTCTGCGTCCCAGCACCCATGCGGGTTGGACTGGAACTTTGCTTCATGGGGTTTTCGGTGTTGGGACGGGGAAGTAGGTCACAGGCCTTTCTTCCACGCCAGGTCTGGGTGAACACAAAGCTGCAGCCTTTCAGTTAACAGCGAGCACTCAAACCTTTGTGCCCAGGCACCCCCAGCCCCTCGCAGCTGCCGGTCCTGGGGGACTGGGCATGTGCAGGCCTCTGCCTCCTCTGTCTGCTTCTCTCCCTCCCCTCTCCTCGTGTGTCTGTCTGTCTGTCTTCCTCACCCCACCTTCATCCCCTGTGTGTGCTGCTGTCTGTCTCTGTTCTGGTCTATACGACTCAGACAGGGTCAGGCCTTGAATACACCTCATTCCAGTGAGGAGACCTGGTGTGTCAGCAGGTTAAGTGCTGAGCCACTCATGGAGAGGTTGGCAGTTTGAATCTACTGTCTGCTCTGCAGGAGAAAGAAGCCTTAGTCACAGCGACCCTGCAAACCCCAAAAGGCAACTTCTCTGCTGCCCTGCAAGGTGTGCTGATGTTTGGGGTTTGGTAACCAAGATCCTGGTGGCACAGTGGTTAAGTGTCTGCTAATCTACTGATTGGTGGTTTGAAACCACCAGCCTCACGGGAGACAGATGAAGTGGTCAGCTCGCTGAAGATGGCAGCCTGGAACCCCAGGGCAGCTCTGCTCTGACCTGCAGGGTCACTTGTTGTTAGGTGTTGTCAAGTATGACTCACAGCAACCATATGAACCACAGATCTGCCCCCTGACCTGTCCTGTGCCCTCCTCACACCTCCTGACACACTCGAGCCCACTGCTGTGGTCACCACGTCAGTCCCTCTGGTTGAGGGTCTTCCTCTCGTTCGCTGGTGCCCCTCCTCACACAGTGCCCACAGTATGTGAGACGGAGCATGGTGACAGCAGGTTGACCTCCGGTGCGGCCTCCTGACCGTAAACACCATTTCCATGCCAGAGCCCATGGGGATGGCACACTGGGGGACACAGCAGGTGGAGGAGGCGTGCAGCAGACATGGCCGACATCTGTTCGCACTCAGTCCTTAAGGATAAGGTCCTCCTGCACCTTTGTGGTCTCACCGGTGGCACTGGAGGGCTGGGGTTTTGTTTACTGCCTTCACTGAGAGTGCCAGCAATAGCCTCCCCTTCGGCTGGACCCCAAGCCAGTCCAGTCTCTGCACACATCTCTGGGACACTCCCAGGGAATGTTTAGAAATAGCATCAGCTTGGACGTCCTGGGGGAAGGAAAGAAATACGTAAACAAGGAAGGAATTCTCCGGACGGAGACAGCTTCAGGTGTGGCTGGATCCAGGTAGGAGAGTGTCCTCAGGACGTGTACTGTCCTCGCCCCCTCCGGCCCAGCTGCCTGTACCTGCAGGTTCCGTGAGCTGCTCACAGGGAGCTCCAGCTCAGCCAGCTCCCAGATTCAAATCTGACAGGAATCAAATGCTTCTCTTCCTGGTTTCTCCAGCAAAATTCTGGGACACATGTGGGTTAGGGTGATGCCTATCCCTGAACCAATTAGCACAGGGTTGCCCAAAGAAGAATGGGAGGCACGACCAGAGGAGAGAAGGTGATGCTGAGCTCCGCAGACCTGAGACCCCAGCCTATGCCCCTCTCACAGGGCCCTGGAGCAGGCTCCAGGCTGGACGCTGCCTCTCCTTGTCCCTGCTGTCTGAGCCCGGGTGCCCTGGGAGGTCACCGCAGGCCCCAGCTCTTTTTCACTCCTTTTGAGCAGCTGATGGGTTCACTCCATCAACCTGTACGTTAGTAACTGAGCACTTAGGGACTGCGCCACATGCATCACAACCTTTCCAGGTGGGTCGTAAACCCAACCTCCATACCTGTGGTTCAGATGCCCTGGGACGGGCTTGGTCGTGTCAATGGGACAGAATTAGTGGGGGCGGGGGTGTCCTGAGACCGTGTCTTTTTGGTTATAAGAGACACGAATCCCGAGCTATTTGGGGAGAGGAGCAAGCAGCTGTGAGCGAGGACAAACGTGCCAGACAGATGACCCATAACTGACAGAGAAAAGGCTGCCCCAGAGCTGGGGCCCTGGCTCGGGCTCTGGTCTCCCCACTAAGATGCTGAGATTTCATTTCTTGCCTTAAGCTTCTTGTCAGTCTGGACCTGGACAAGGACGTCATGCTGTAAAGTAGTTGTGGTGGTGGACCGTCGAGTCAGAACCAACTCGTAGTTGGCCCTCAGTGGGTTTTCAGAGACAGTAAATTGCACAGGAGATCTCCCACCTTTCTCCCCTGCAGCAGCTGGTGGATTCGAACCTCCTGCCTTAGAGTTGGCAGTCCACTCCTTACCGCGAGGCCACCAGAGCTCACTACTGGTAGGGTAGAGGGTCCGTGAAAATGAAGAAGACCCTCACAGAGACAGGACAGATATCACAGGGGCAGCAATGGCCTTGAACATGCAGCGGCCGCACAGATGGCAGTGCCCGGGCAGCGCTGGTCCTGTTGGCACAGGTCACGGTGGACCAGCGTCCACTCACCACAGGAAGCTTCTGTGACAGCGGCAGAGAGCTGGCTGGTTGGCGCCATCACGTGGACCACGACCCTCAGCGACCCTGTGAGCCACAGCTGTGAGCCCTGCCCCGGCCGGCCCCGTCTCCTCCGCGCAAGGGCCCCTGTGACAGGCGCCGTGACGATCCAGCTCGTGGAGGGTCTCGCTCCCTTTCGCTGGCCCCTCCTGATGACAGAGGATTAGAGGAGGGATTCTCAGGCTGGCTACAGGAAGGAGGTGGCCAAGGCTTTCACGAGAGATACCTCCGGGTGGAGTGAACTGCCCAGTCCTCCGTCAGCAGGGAGCATTAACTGGGGCTCCCTGGCCCCGTCTTCCCAGCAGACCCTGCCCTGCTCCCCAGCGGTCTAGTGATCCAGCCGGAGGATGTGTTGAGAAATTAGTGAAACGTGCCCATTTCCCCTTCCCTGGAGGGTTCAGATCCTGGAACGGGCAAAGGTACTGATTGAGGCATCACAGGCTGGCTGCCACTTGGGGTGCTTGATGCAATGACCATCGTCTTTAATTACAGCTGACAGGGCGGCCACACAGTTCCCTGTGGACCATGTACACCAGCTGCCTGCTGGGCAGCAAAATGGTCATTCCTGTGGGTCAGCGAGCTTGGCCGTCACCAGCATCGCATGGTCCAGCCCCTCCCCAGCAGTGGGAGGACTTGTGCAGCCCCCAGGATGACCCCACACAGGCCTCTCTGTCCATGACACCACCGCCCTCCTCGCTTTCTGGCCCCCAGACTCGCAGACACTGCTGGGTACACAGCAGCTTCCAGGCTGCCCACGAGCTGGACATGCAAGTGTGGGTGGGACCCCAGCATGGGCCTCGAGGACAGCTCCGGGCCTGGGACACACAGGGTTAGGCTGCCCAGGACCAGTGTCCGAGGAGGAGGACCAGCTCCAACTCCCGCTGGTCCAGCGTCTTCCTCTCCTTCACTGATGTTTCCTCTTTCCTGGTGTGATAATATCGACAGTCCGATGTTCTGGGCGCCCACGCTTTTACCAAAACCAAGCGCAGCCACTGCTGTTGTTGGACCCTGTGGTCAGTGCAGGCCTGCCGTGGTGTCCGAGGTCATGGCCTTTATGGAAGCAGCTGGTGGCTTCATTCGCCAAGCTCTCAGCGCTCAGTGCTAACACCCCTCCTCGCCAGGGCCCCTCCCACCAGTGCCCAGAGGGACGTGATTCCAGCAGCCAGTTGGAGAACAACGCTGCCCCCGGGCGAGCAGAGCACCCGGGACTGGTTTTGAAGGAAGGAGGATTCTGGGGCTTCAGAACTGCAGATCCAGCTGGAAGCAGTTTCACCCTCTTCATCTGAGGGTGAGGAGGTGGCCTCGCCCAGTGCCCTTCTGGCCCTCAGTAGGGGCTGGGGTCTCTGGTTCTCTGTCGGCGCCTGGGGAGGGGAGGAGAAACCAAGGGTGGGTGGGTAGGCCACTGAGGAAATAGGCTGGAAAAGACTTTATTTCACATAAAAGTGAACACTGCCCATTGTTCTGAGGCTCCTTGGCCTCCATCCAGGATCTCCTTGTTGCACATGAGCAGACCTGAAGGGGTGGGCAGGTGGGCCCACGGGCAGGGTGTCACCTGTCCCCCAGCTCCTTACTGGCCTGGGCGGTGACTGTGGTGGACATGCA